ATGGGTATATTTGAATTAAAAAAGGTGTTCCTAATATTATATCATGATTTATATTTTTTACAATTATAAAATTATGTCTAATACAATATTCATTATTACATATTGATCCTTTTGTAAATTTATATTTTACTTGTAAATTTTCTCCATTTGCTGCCATTAATGTTTCATTTGTTCTTTCACAATATTTAGTAGGAATTATTCCTTCTTTAATACAACTTGAATCAGCTTCACTATCTATTAGAGCTACATGTGTTTCTTTGAAATCTTCTACAGTAATAGTTACTAAAGCATACCATCTTTGAAATGTCATTTTTTCTATTGTATTTAAATATTGATCTTCATCCACTGGTTTTTCTGATATAAATATTTCTTCTGTTTTAGAATTAGAAGTTGAGGGTTGATTATCTATTAAGGTTATTTTGGCTTCTATTTCTAAATCTTTTGTTTTTAATTCTATAATCTCTTGTTGTAATTGTTTTATTTGTGTTTTAAGATTATTGATTTCTGTTTGAAGATCTTTAGTTGTTTCTTTTTTCATTATATTTATATTTGGATATTTATCTATTAATTTCGAAATTCTAAAAGGTTCTATTATCTTTGGCATTTTATCTTCTTGGATAATTAAACTTTTTAATCTTTCCAAATATTCTTTTTTAGCTATTGGATCATTAATCTTTTCTATTATGTCTAATAAGAATTCTTTATCTTCTTTTTAGTTATGACATTTATATATTTTGGATTATTTGAACAGTTACAATCTTCTTCACTTTCTGAAGTACTTATGTCATTATAATAATCGTCTTCTGAACTTTGATCTTTTTTATTTATTAATAAGTTTATTAATTTATTTTTAATCTCTTCTTCTTCTGCACAGATTTCAGTAATTTTTTCTTTTAAATTACATTTATTTGCTTTATGTCCTATTTTCCCACATTTGTAGCAAATAATTTTCTGTTTAATAAATTTTCTTTTCTTTTCCGGTTTATTTCCTTCAGTTCTTTTGTATCTTATTTTCTTATTATTATTTTTTTTAATTTTCTTTTTGTATGCAGAGGGTGATTTAATTCTTTTAATTCCAAATGCATCACAAATGATCCTACTTCTTTTGTTTTTGAACCATATTTTATTTGTAATTTTAATTCTGAGCATAACATTAATCCTTCTTTTTTCACAAAAGCAAATAATTGTCCAAAAGTAATATTTTCAAATGAAATTACATCTGTTCCCATTTCCTTTTGTAAACTATCCATTATTCTTTGTGAAAATAAGCTTGGTAATCCTGTTATAAATCTTTCTTTCCAAAATGAAGCGTTACAATCTGGCCTTCTTAATACATTAGTTAAAAACATATCTTTATACCATCTAAAATCTGATAATGTTGGACATCTTAAATTCTAATAAAACATTTTTAACAAATTTAAGATGTCCAACATTATCAGATTTTAGATGGTATAAAGATATGTTTTTAACTAATGTATTAAGAAGGCCAGATTGTAACGCTTCATTTTGGAAAGAAAGATTCATAACAGGATTACCAAGCTTATTTTCACAAAGAATAATGGATAGTTTACAAAAGGAAATGGGAACAGATGTAATTTCATTTGAAAATATTACTTTTGGACAATTATTTGCTTTTGTGAAAAAAGAAGGATTAATGTTATGCTCAGAATTAAAATTACAAATAAAATATGGTTCAAAAACAAAAGAAGTAGGATCATTTTGTGATGCATTTGGAATTAAAAGAATTAAATCACCCTCTGCATACACAAAGAAAATTAAAAATATAATAATAAGAAAATAAGATACAAAAGAACTGAAGGAAATAAACCAGAAAAGAAAAGAAAATTTATTAAACAGAAAATTATTTGCTACAAATGTGGGAAAATAGGACATAAAGCAAATAAATGTAATTTAAAAGAAAAAATTACTGAAATCTGTGCAGAAGAAGAAGAGATTAAAAATAAATTAATAAACTTATTAATAAATAAAAAAGATCAAAGTTCAGAAGACGATTATTATAATGACATAAGTACTTCAGAAAGTGAAGAAGATTGTAACTGTTCAAATAATCCAAACTAGCGGGTCCCACGTCCGATATACCTTCTTAGTTTCTCAAAATCTAACCGATACTAGAAAAATCTTCTAAAAACTATATTTACTCATAAAAATTATTTAGAAATTTTCTAATAAAGAAAATGTATAAAAGGCATGCAAATAATTAAAATAAGGCCTAGAAATAAGGAAATTTACGGGTTCTCACAAGTTAAAAGAAAAAATCAAAAAACAAAAACAAAAATGTAAAAAAGGAAAATATGGGAAAAAAATTTGATTCGAAATGGTTCATCTATTTCTAGTCAAACACGATTTTTAATTAGGCCGAATTTTTGTTTGACGGTTTTTTAGGATAAGTCAGATAGGATGTCTACTCAATTTTCGGGTCAATCGGTTAAATCGATCGATCCGATCCGAGTTTCAAAACACAACTTGAAACATGGGAATCGATTGCTAATCCAATTTGAGTACCCCTGCTAGACAGATCTTAACAGAATACTTCATTATTCAAGCTCCATGGACTAGAACTTGCTGAGTCAATTCTATCTTTTTTTGTCTCATTTGAGAAAATGAGGCCTTCCCTTTTCTTGATGGCGTTGATTTGCCAATCATACTAGACTCCACATCCACCTCTAAAGAAAAACGGAGGGTGTAACAATGAGAGGTACCCGACTATTTTCAAGAACAAATAAGACATGAGCCTAGGGGCGTGCAAGCTCAGAATTTATTGAATAACGACTGATTTCAAAATGAATTTAAAAATTTGAAATCGGTAATTCGAAAATTCGAAACAAATGCGGATTCATGTGTTTCAACATAGGTATGAAAGTTGTATTGGTTTCTTGAATCCGGAAATTACTAATCTCGAAATCGAAAAAAGTATTTAAATACATAAATAATACAAATATATACTATACACGAATATCATGTGCAAAATGTATATTAGTCTTATAGACATTCAAGTATATGAGAAAATATGCTACTATGGAAATATATTATTACATTACGTTATAATGCATATTGTACTATATAATAGCAATGTATGTATATCATACATTTTGACTTCAGTAGTACTCAATTCTTATTTTAAAATTGAATCAAAATTGAAATGGTTCAACTCAAAATCGAATTAAGTCAGTATCTCACAAAAGAAGATTATGAAAATTACAAAATTTAATCTACTAAATTCTTGATTATGCTCACTTCTACTGAAATATTGTAATATCTGACCACAATAAGAACATTTATATTCTTTTTATTTTCAACGATGACTACCGTCATTTTACCCAGAAAAAAAAAAATTTATGACTACAGTTAGAGTTTATTTTTCTTTGGACCACTATAACCTTCAATGAATATAGAACCTGAGGATTTTAATTATAAGGGGAAAATGCACTTTTTATTCCTTATTGTTTTGAGTGTTGGACAATTTTATCCCTAAAATTTCAATTAAAACACATTTCATCCCCATAATTTTATAATTTTAATCAATTTCATCCCTAAAATTTCATGCAAACACATTTCATCCTCATAATTTCATAAATTTGACTAATTAAGGATAATTGATGGATTGTCAAGTAATTTGAATTGAATATCATCACTTGACCATAGCATACCAATTAGTAAAATACAAAAAACATTGGGTCAACCAAAACCTCAAAAATTATTTTTTAATTCACTTTTCATTTGAAAAAATTAAGAAAATTTCACCCACCATTAGTCTCGTCTTAATCACAAATTGAACAAAAAGATTGAGAGGGATTGAAGTCGTGGAGAAGAAACAACCCCATTATGGCCAATTGGAGAAAAATTTCAAACAATCTTGTTACAAACCAATTGGAGAAAAATATTAACGTGAAATAAAGAATTGTTTAGATTGTCATTTATTTGCAAAAATTTTTGTTTGGATTGTGAATTATTAGAGATATTTTTATTGAAGTACTTTTTGTGATGTGATGTATGTGAGATAAAAAGGTAATTGGGAAGATAAAAAGGTGTGTTGGAAATTGTAATGATGATGTAAGCAAATATATTTTGGTAAATAAACCGCAATCCAAACAAACCCTTTGTTTTGTTGCATCATATATATGTTTTTCAAATTGTCTATCTATCTTCCAATCTATTATTTTGTTCACATATATCATATCATAAATTAAAAAAAATCTCTTATTCAAACACACTCATTATTATTTATATAATTTAATTAGTAACTGAATTAAGTATTAATAATACAATGATTAACCTGACATATTAGTCATGTGATGATATTCGTCCAAATTGGTTGACAATCATTCAATTGTCCTCAATTGTTCAAATTTATGAAACTATAAGAATGAAATGTATTTGGATGAAACTTTAATTGATCGAAATTATAAAACTAGAAAAATGAAATGTATTTTGATCGAAACTTTTGGACTGAAATTATCCAATATCCCAAATATTGGGGATGAAAAGTGCAGTTTTCCCTTAATACAATAGCCATTAAAAAATTGGTGCAATTAGCAGGAAATGAGTTACTAGAACAACAGAGATCAAGAATTCATCTCAGACCAGGAGACGATGAGGACGATGCAGAGAAGAGCTTCTTCCGCCATAATTATTACCATTGCTCAGTCTCAGGAAGCAGCGGCTTCATTAGGAACTACTGCTCCTGCTAGTTGTACTACTCTTGCTTCATTTCTCTCTGCAGTCGCAAACCCTATACCCCAATTAGCTTTTTACTCTGCTAGTAGTAGTAAAATTAGGTCGTCTTCTGGAAAAGCTCTAAAATTTCAATCTGGTTTGAGGAATGATTTAGTAATATCAACAGTCTTGATGATGCTTGAGCTTGTACAAGCAGATGGTCCGAATGAGGCCTCTGCCTTCTGTTATTGATTTCACTCAACTGCTGGACCGTATTGTTAAGATGAATAAGCATATATTGTTCCGTTATTCACCTGTTTAGGGACATGTGCGTCAAGGGCATTCCAGTTAATGAGTACACTCTCAATGTTGTGATTAATTGTTACTGCCTCGTGGGTCGAGTGGATTTGGGGTTTTCCATATTGGGTGGCTTCTTCAAACGTGGTCTTGTGCCAGATGTAGCAGCTTTAGCACTTTACTTAAGGGACTTTTTCGAGAGCATAAGGTTCCTCAGGCACAAGAATTGTTCAAAAAAATAATATACAACAAAGTTTGCGAGCCCAATGAAGTTATGTTTGGAATTGTAATAGATGGCTGTGTAAGGTGGGAAACACTCAAACTGCCATCGACTTCCTCAGATCAATGGAAAAAGGACGAAGATCTTGTAAACCTATACAGTTGTGTACAACACTATCATTGACAGCTTGTGCAAGGATAAAATGGTTGATGAAGCTCTTGCACTCTTCCGGGAGATGATTGAAAAGAGCTTACCTGCGGATGTTGTCAGTTATAATTGTTTGATTCAGGGTCTCTGCAGCTTAAGCAGATGGAAGGAGGTTAAAGAGCTCTTCTCTGAGATGAAGGATTATAAAATTGTTCCGATGTCTTTACTTTTAATATAGTGGTGGATGCACTGTGCAAGGAAGGACAGGCAGAAGATGCTGAAGAGGTAGTCAGCATCATGATTCAGCAAGGTCAGACTCCCAATCTGGTCACATACAATTCCTTAATGGATGGATACTGTTTACATTGCCGAATAGATGAAGCAGGGAGAATCTTTAATACCATGGTTACTAGTGGCCTTACTCCTGATCTCCATAGCTATGCTATTCTGATAAATGCCTATTTCAAGAACAAGGAAGTGGAAGAAGCCATGAATCTCTTTCGAGAACTTCAACACAAAGGTTTAACACCTAATATTGTTGTTTATACACTGTCCTGCAGGGGTTATTTAGTGCAGGAAGGTATCTCAGTGCAAGAGAAGTTTTTGATGAGATGCAAGCTGCTGGCCTAAATCCTATTTTCACTTACTGCATCATGTTGGATGGGTTGTGCAAGACTGGAAATGTCGATGAAGCTTTGCAGTTATTCCATTCAATGGAAGTTGATGGAGTAGATCTTCATGTACAAATGTACGGTATCATCCTTAATGGGTTGTGCAAAAGTAGAAGGCTCGATAGTGCTCGAGATCTTTTCAACAGTCTCTGCCTTAAAGGATTGGATCCTGATGTCAGAACATACACCATCATGATTGCTGGCTTGCTTTCAGAAGGTCTGCTCATCGAAGCCAAAGAGCTTGTTGAAAAAATGGAAGAGAAGGGTTGCTTGGCAGATGGTGCTACATACAATGTTATTCTGCAAGGACTCCTCAAGGGAGGTCATTATGACGATGCAATGGTCTGTTATGAAGAAATGGTTCATAGAGGATTCTCACTGGATGCATCTACTTTTTCCATTTTACTTGATTCATCTGCTAAAAATCAGAACAATCCTTCATTACTAATGTTGATGCTGAAGATTGATCCCGATAGCAAGAAGTTCATGGATGGAGGACAAAGAGGACCTTCACATTAGTTGCAACATGTTGGTCCTGCTGTTTTTTGGCCTTGAGCAAACATTAATTAGGTTTGCATTTGATCCTGTTATTAGTTATCATCTTTGTTGCAACTGAGCCTTAGTGGAGCTCTCTTGGTGATAGTTTGTGAAACACCTCAGAGATCATCAGTCTGGTGGAGAAGCCGCATTCCTTAGGGAGTTCAATTGTTTGGTGTGGCAATCCACAGAATTTGGTGCAATTAAGTGGATTTGTACTCCTTCTTTTCAAGACTTCTTGTTTGTCTTTCATGGAGAACCTCAATGTGGCATATCACTTAAGTGATAACTTGAACAGGCTATTTTTCTTCATTTTTCATGGGCGTTGGTGCTTTAGCTTGCCTGTTAAGTTCAGTTTGGATAGCCACTATTTGAATTTGTTGAAAGTAAAGACTTAAATATCATCTGCAAGTATAGTTTGTGATATTCTATTTCTAGAAATTTCAAGCTGTATTTCTATAATTTTGAGGAAATTTTTTCATTTAAGAATGATAAAATTGCTACTTTTACTTCAATTGCTAAACGGACCCAATATGCCACCAGTTCAAAAGTGTAAAAACTTTCTAGACTAGCTCTTGCTTTGGGTTCATATTTTGAGGTCCATAGGCATGTCCATTTATTTTTTCACAACATTTGACAGAATCTGAACTTTTCAAGTATGCTCCAGGAAAAGGTATTCTGATTATTTTCCCCTTTAATTGTCAATGCTGTGCCAAATTATATAGATATCCTGTAGAAGTGTGGCAAAATATCATTCTCTTGCAATAACTTGAAATAATTCATCCAAGAAACTCTCTCTCTCTCTCTGTCCTCTCTCTCTCTCATATATTTCTCCTCATACATAAATCCATTTGTGTGTTTGGTTGTTCATTAACAATATACTTGATTATGGGATTCTTCAAGATTAATATTTGGTTGTTCCTAAGTTGCAATGGTAACTAAAGAAAGGTTTTTATTGCAAAACTGTACTTTCATTTGATCACCATCTGCAATGGTTAAAAAAAAGGTCGGTAATAATATAATTGGTCTAGTCTAACAAACTTTGTATCTACCAGTTTCCTTTTTCTTATTCTTGTTCTTTTTGGATTGAGCAGGAGAGGGGTGGAATTTGTATTGCAGAGTGTGAAGATTTGACATCAGCTCAGACTGGATAGAAACAATTAATCAGGTATTAAAATGTATGGAAATAGTCATCATGAATTTTATATGTTAGAAATCAGTTAAAGCAGTTAAAACTATTTCTTAATCACTCTTGGAACAAATCCTATGGCTCTATAATTATGTTTTTTTAAGTATCTTGTGATTAAGAGTGATGGATTATTTCTTTTGGCTGTGGAAGAAGTAAACTGTCTAGTAACTTATAAAACAGCATTAAGAATTGATCTGTTGTTGATCTACATGTAGCTCTTCTGATGTAGATTTATTTGTAGGGTTTTGATACTGCATGCACTAGTTTGCAATGGCGACATGTGTTGCAAAGAGAATGACCGTAGCAGGTTTTTGGGTGCTGTTAAGAAGAAGAAGTCTTCTTGCTCATGTTTTTGTCCTATGGTGGGGATTTCAATAATGCTTTCTGGTTAGTAATATCCACATTCAGCTTAAGTTAGCTCAGAAGGTATTATTACCAAACTGTCGTCACATGCATGGAGTTAAGTTTCCATTGAATTTGTGCTAGTTTAAAACTCAATTTAGCACATCTGATAGACGATTTAAAAAAAATGAAAAACATATCGAAATGAATCCAGAATGCTCCCACTTCTAAATATGAATGTCTAGATTCAACACAACTAGGTATAGCCCTTACCTTTTTTTTTTTTTATTAACCCATTGTGTAATCTTATTGAGGATGAGAGATATAGTAGAGGCTAAAATCAAGTTGATTCAATTTCACAGGGAACGTGATTTGATTTAGGTTATTAATATTTAATCTCTTTCTTTCATGATTGGGATATAGTACGTATCGGGTAAAAGCTGTACGGTTCCCTGTTTTGATTCAACGTCCATATTGATTGCTATCTTACCATCCTCAGATGGACGAGTTTAAACCGCAAAATTACTTCAAATCATGTCGTACATAACATCAGTTTAAGTAGGGTTCTGAGAATTTTAAGTGCAGGTCTTAATTTATTCTATTTTATTTTTTGGTAACAAACATTTAAGGACAAGTCTTGCATTGAAATCTTATGAATGTGTAACTGAACATGCAATAGAACAATCTAAAAACTTCTTCTGTGCTTTGTCTTTTTCTAAATCTCTTCTGTTTTATATGCTTTGAAATCATGTTGATTGGAAAAGATACTATCCTACAGACAACTTAATCATTGGGAAACAATAAAAGTTTTTTTTCTAATAGCTTATGCAGGAGCGTTTCAAATTTTGTGCAACAATACCAAATTGTAAGATGAAAAAACTAATATTTCTGAATTCAGAGAAAAAAGTTTGTGATAAAAATTTTCTGTTAACGGGATTTTTCTAGTAGTAGCGTCTATTCTCTGTAGCTAGTTTAGTTTGCTGAAGAATTACATCACAATATTCGTTCTGTATGCAGTACATTAATTTACTGGAAAAAGATATTCAGTGTAGAATGGAAATACTGAATGCATATCATGAATACTAGTAACCATTATTTATTATTGTTTGATAAGGTACTATTGGTCACTGGGGTGGAAATGAGAGATATTTGTTGCTTGTGCCTGTTTTTATTGGCTTGATTTGCAATGATAACAATGACCTTTCAGTGATTGTAAATATTTATTTGTGCCTACAGCACATGTCCTGGAGTACCTGCTTGAGCATTGCAATCTGAAAATCGTTCACTGAGATTGAAGGCTGGAAACATCCATCTGGATGATGACATTGCAGCTTTCTTAGTGGTTACAAAACTACCACATCACAACTCAAATCCAGGGAACCATGGGACACATTGCCCCTGAATAACTGTAAAGCCTTTGGAGATGACAGATGTATTTGTGTGACTCTTGCACAACTTGTAACCTGTCAGTCTGCAATATTTCTGCTTGAAGAGGAGGAGGACGTACTATTGCTAGATAAGGTGAGTAATTCCATTCTTTCTTGAAATCCAGACAGACTCGTTCTGCAATATGGCTATAACTCAGGGTTTTGTATTCCTGTTATAGTCTTCTGCGCATTATGAAACAGGTAAGTGCCTTGATTCAGTGGTGTTGGAATATTTAAACTTGCTTAATTGATCTATTTATTTAGCTTTGTGTCGAAGTTTTACACTATTTTTCTTGTGTCAAAGTGTTGTCAGTACTCTTGTGCAATTGCAAACTAATCTGTCTTAGGCAGACTTCGTTTCCTCCTTAATTTGTTAGTAGGTCCATTTCTTGAGTTGGTTGTCTCTAGTTCAATTCTAATTAGAAGTTTCTTGTGGTGTTTGAGTCAGTTATCTTGCATCCAAACTCTTTCAGACTTACTGCTTTTATCTGCTACTATGGCTGCTACGATTTTGTTCAAGAAAGAGTATACAAGAGAGAACCTCCATGTGCAAGCACTGAATTGCATTTCAAGGAAACACCGATCTAGATGAACTTTCGTTCTAGATAACTTTCGTTTAACATCCAATCCAATGCCAACTTTAATTTAAAAGAGCTTTACCCTGCCATCAATTCAATTGTGATGCTAGACCAAACCATTTGGAATTAAATTCAAGTTTAGTTGGATGTTGAACCAAGTTCATCTGAATCGGAGCAAGAATGGATATGCAATGCCTTTTTGGAGAACTTGAGCTGTCCTATGATTTATCTTCAATAGTGCACCAACATCACCACCACCTCCTCCACAATAATTTCTGCTTGATTGGATTTTCTCAAAAGTGCAACTTGATTTTTATTTTTGCTGTATGCTGCCTTATGTATATTTCATGCAGTAGCCTGAACTTAGTATTTTTTTTCTGTTGTTATATGCTGTTTCTTCCTTTCAGCATTTAGTTCTCCAAAAGGATCACCTTTCACAACCTTTTGGATTCTCGTCATTTGTGGCTGTAGCTCTAGAGTGTATCAAGTACTCCACCATTTAGTAGTTTGTTTCTTTGGCAATTATGAGTTCTGGAATTTTTTGGTATATATCTTCTACTTCGAGGAATAAACATCTTCTGCAAATAAATTGGCACTCCTTGCCACCAAACCAAAAAACTTGTTGGTCTGCCTGTTGGTCAGTACATCCTGGATGTGTTCTGGTTTTGCCTCCTACATATACAGAAGAATCATTGAATGTTTAGCATTGCACAATCTTATGAATTGCTTTTTGCACTGCAGTACTACTTTCTGAGTTCTTGTGAAATTGACAAAAGCTAAGTTATTGGTATATGATTGTGTCCTTTACAAATATTATGCCTTAGCTCCAAAAAAGTCCATAGAAGAATTCTTTTCCACAGAACTCGTTAAACTTCACACTACATAAAGCAAACTCCCATGATTATGTCTTTTAGCTTTAAGGTCATTTTATCTCTCGTTCGACATTGATAGGAAGCTTTGTCAGGCATTTCATCAATTTGTCATCTATTAGATAGACAAAATAAGACTTATTGTGAATTACAAGATGTGGTAGAAAGAGATCAGAATCATAAAATTAGAAAATTGATGAAAGTATTCAGGAAAAAAAGTTTGTTGAGGGACTTTCTTGTCTCTATTCCTGATATAGATGGTCTCAGTTGATGCTAAGTAAACTCCTTGCTGTGTCGGACCAAATAGATGTGTTTAAATTGGTCAATAAGTTACTCTATGGTTGGATTCTGTCTTGCATACTATTTGTTTCTATGTAAATTTGCATATTTGCGGAGTGTGTGCCAGGATGATGTTATGAAGAGTAGAGTATATGGGTATTTCTTGGAATCTAGTTAAAGTAATATGTTGAGTAAATGGCTTTGTAAAATAAGTATTTCCTTGAGATTTTTCTGGGGATTTTGCCAGTTGTTGAATGGGTCTAATTGGAGAAGTAATTGGAGTAGCAGCCTGACTGTAAGTCAATGCTGGGAAATCTGATAAAAGTTGAAATCTATTTTGAGTTACAGGGGTAAGACTCATCTCATAATCCTGAGGAGTCTTTGGCCGGGAACTTCCTGCTTTTGAATCCATGTTCCTGCAAAATTAATAAACAACATCTTTAAGTTGGTCAGCTAATTGTCTGTTTTGTTCTTGATAGTGCTGAATAAATTCGTTGTGAAGAAAATCTCCACTTCTGCTTAATCTCTGATGAGTAAGAAGTCGAAGGGTGTTTTTCTGAATTTGTCTTTGTAGAATAAAGGCTCTTTCTTTTGGAGTACTGGTTGCATAGGGACTTTTATGAATATATATTTCATCATATTTAGGAATTTGGTAGGCTGGAATAAATTGTCTTCCATTCGGAGTCTGAATGGAATAGACATATCCTCTGGATAGAATTGATTTTTCTTTATTTTGAAGGCTAGGAGAATCTCGTTGAGTTCTCAAATAATTTGTGTATTCACGATCATTTCTTTGAGCCATCATTGCTGGATCCATGTCCTTGTAGGAATTCTCTGGTTAGAAAATCTGGTAAAGAATTATTTTCTCCTTTAATAAATTCTATATCAAAATCAAATACAGATAAAATAGCTTGCCATCTAGCAAATATTTGTTTTGAAATAATATTTTGAACATATTTTTGTAGAATTTCTTTTGCAGATTTGCAGTCTATTCTAATTAAAAATTTCTTATTGTATAAGTCATCCTGAAATTTTGATATACACAAAACTATAGATAGAATTTCTTTTTTAATAGTTGAGTAATTCTTTTGAGGATCTGACCAGGTTCCTGAATGAAATCTAACTAATTCTTCTTTTGAATTATCTATTTTTTGTTTTAATATTCCTCCGTATCCTAATTCTGAAGCATCTGTTTCAACTATCATGAATGCTTTAGGATGGGGTAGGCACAAACATGGTAATGATTCTATTTTTGCTTTTAAATATTTTATTTTTTGAGTATGTTCTTCTGTCCAAGGTTTTGGGTTTTTCTTTAATCTATTAAATAATATAGAACATTCTTGTCTTAATTTAGGAAAGAAATCTGCTATATAATTTAAGCATCCTAAAAATCTTTGTAATTGATTTTTCTCTTTTATCTCATCTGGAAATTTAGTAGCGAATTCTAAAGCTCTATTTATTGGCTTTATTGTTCCTTGATATATATTATGTCCTAAAAATCTTATTTTTGTTTGAAATAATTTCATTTTTGGAGCAGAAATAACTAATCCATTTTTCTTAACTATTTTTAGAAATATACTTAAATGTTTAAAATGTTGTTCTAATGATTCTGAAAATATTAATACATCATCTATATAGACTATGCTGAATGAACTATAAGGATTGAAAATATCATTCATTATATTTTGAAATTCTGATGGTGCATTTTTTAATCCAAATGGCATAACTATGTTTCTTTGAAATCTTCAACTGTGATAGTTACTAAACAGAAGTTGTAATAGACTTGTCTTAGTTTTCCTACTACTCCCACTTACTCTTAGTTCTCCTACTATTCCCACTCACTCTAAAATAACCATTGTACTCAAAGTCTTTGTAGAAGTGGATTTCATCATTACAATAAAGTCTTCAAGGTTGGAATTCATTACAAGCTTCCGTTAGTCACTCAACAATCAAAAGTAAGTCCAACTACTTATGTTTATTGCATTTCAATACCTGGGGTGCCATGGATATTTTGCTGGAGTTTCAAAATTCATCAAGAACTGGAAAAACCTCTGCCAATGTCATTGGTAAGAGAATTCAAAATAAAATGGTGGACTGGATTCAATCAAGAATTTGGCGATCAAACTAATGTGATCAGATTCCTGACCACTGGAGACAAATTAAAGTGGACAGCTACTACCACTACTCAAAAGGAGACAAGACAGTCAACAATCATTCCAACCACTACACCAACTCCACTCACTCCAAAAAGAGACAAAGAAAAGGTGACGGAAATGGCATCCGAAGAAACTGCCAGTAACTTTTTAATAAAGCAAATCATGCAGAATCCCGAGATGCTGAAAGAATATCTGAATTATTTACAAAAGCCAAAAGAAGAAGACAAAATAGAGGAGCCAGCAGGATCATCAGAATCTACTTTTGATCCTTTTGATGACCCCATCGGTGGACAAAATCCAAACGACTTTTGAAAAAGAATGTCGGCCACAACAAATGAAAGCAAAATTGAAATGAAGATGAAATGCAGAACCGAGCCTCTATAAATAGATTCAAGATTCAGAAGACAGGCATCGGCGAAAAAATATCAGAAGTTGTAATAGACTTGTCTTAGTTTTCCTACTACTCCCACTTACTCCTAGTTCTCCTACTATTCCCACTCACTCTAAAATAACCATTGTACTCAAAGTCTTTGTAGAAGTGGATTTCATCATTACAATAAAGTCTTCAAGGTTGGAATTCATTACAAGCTTCCGTTAGTCACTCAACAATCAAAAGTAAGTCCAACTACTTATGTTTATTGCATTTCAATACCTGGGGTAGAAGTGGTATCAGAGCCACACCTTTGTTTAATTTGCATACGCATATTTAAACTTTGCATTTACATTTACTTTATTTGAATTACATTTCTATTTTAACTTGGCTATTTCATGCATTTATGTTACATATTTTATTAAACTTTACTGAAAACGTTGGTAAGACTTGATGCTTTGTTAGACCGTTGGTAAGTCCAGGATAGGATGTTCCAGGCATAGGCTCGGTTGTTCCCGTCTAAGTAAAATTTAATTAAATATTAAGCATGGCTGCATTTCTTAGACAATTAAAAATAGGATCTAATTCAAAGCAAGAAAATGTAGTAC